ATTGCATATTTTATATGCTGATGGACATTTAAATCTTGTTATATTTTATTCTTATCTTGAAAATAATTTTAAAATTGTCTATTTTGCTTTCTCCGGTGAAATACGCGCTGACATTGAGTAACCAAGAAAAGAACGTGACATTTTAATGTTCCGGACAGTGTTTTAACCTGTTACGCCATGCCATTGCTTGCACGGCGCGCAATGTGTTGCGGGAACGGCAATGCGGCAGTAGTAGCAGTGGCGGTGGCGGTGGCGCGCACGATAAGATAATTCCGTTGTCCTTTCAACTCGTTCTCTTTGTGCGTTTATATCCTCATTTCAGGCCACGGTTTAGAACATTTTAGAAGTGCTGACAAGTCGTCGGCACTCGCCTTGGTGGAGATTTTCCATTTGCACGCGAATCGTCGCAAATTTACACAGTTTCGCTTACACATGTGCGATTAAACGCGTATACGTATACACCAGCTTTGCGATCACACTTTTTTGAGCAAGTGTTGAAACACGGCGATATCATAAAGCATTTATCTGTACATTTTAATGCTTAGGCATTAAATTATCTTTGTGGAAACGATGACACGTGGGTTGTTTTAATAGACAAAGCGAAATCAACTGTATAATTGACCGACATTACGGCTCAGTGTGTGTATATTAAGAGTAAATTTTGACGGGCGGACACAACAATCCGCAACTCAGTAGAAGTTACCATTCTGGTGCACGTGGCACGTCAAACACATGTGACTAGTTCCGGGCAAGCAATAACTAACGGCCAAGTTTACATATGTTTCCACCGTCTATACAAAGTGCTCCAAGATATATAACTACTAAACTTTTACCCAAGAATCACTTATTTTATTTTAACACAAGTTTTTAATTATTTTGTTAAATTGTTTAATATTTAATTGAAATTTTGTGATGGTGATCTTGTTGCGGTTTGGTTGTGTCAATGGGCAGTAGGAAAAGCAGGAATTGATTATAATGATAGACCTTGTAGCTGCAATCAGGAATTGTAATGTAATCTAATCTAATCTAATAGTCGGGCCGTATGTAAGCGTTTTGGGGTGGAGTGTAACCGGTTGGAGAGTCGGGGTGGCTGTTTACCGAAATAGACCGAACCGCGCCGCAGCGCACACACATTCGTACACACGCTCACGCGTTCGGGTGTTGATGCAGGCGCAAATGTACGAACGCATTAATTCGGTAATAATTGCCTTCAACTTACTAATTAACAGAGATCCGAACACATACAAGACGTGTACTCGTGTGTATTGCATTAAACCTGACCTAGATACAAAATAAAATATATTTTTGTTTTTTTATTATTGAACGTAATGTTTGAGATGACGTACAAGTGCCTTGTTACTTGTTAGTAAAATAATTTCTATCTTTATATAAATATGAAACCATCATTTGTGTGCCGTGGTCATTATTTTCCATCATTACTAGGAATAAAATGCATTGTAATCTATCATAAGAGCGACGCCACTTGACGCAAAACATTATTAATTTCGTTGAGTATCAACGTGCGAATTTCCGCGGCAATTCCCGAACGTACCATAAAAGGAAACGAACGACTCGCCGAAGCGGCCGACACTGCCGCCGCCGGCCGCCCTGCGCCTAATAATAACCGACGGAGCGCGTCCGTGACAAGTAAAAACGATAGGCTCTTGCGGAATTAATTAATTAATAGCCACCCGGATATATCACTCGCCGCCGCTGCCGCAGTCCGAATGTGAAGTATAATTGCGTGAAACAGTTGTCATTTAGATTATTCCGGGCAATTTTTGTCTGCTGTCACGAAAATTTGTTATCAGCACAAGTTTTTTTTTCTGTGTGTACTATTATTTCAATTTTCCAAAAAATAATCAAACTTCTTACTTAGTATTATCAAAATAACTAATTAATGATTGGAATACGTCAATTTCTCTGTTTTTCTGCCTAAATTACCCGAAGTATTCGAAAAAAAACCTTTTAGATTTCCTCTGGATAAGAATTAACAGTTGTTGCAGGTTTGCAAGTAGTTTCCCAACTTGGCATTTGTCACAATCGCCGACTTTCTTTTTGTTTCGTTTTTGCATGTCAACACTAACAACCCATATTCATAAACACATTCCAACGCAATTTTTTTGTGTCGTTAAAAGATCGTTATAGTCGAAAGTTCACTGTTCAATTCGGCGGCAAGCAGTATTCAAACGCCCACAAAAATAACGAAAAGAAAGACATGCATGTGGCTTGCAAATAATTATAGAAAAGTACAGTGCATGCCTGCTGATAATTATAGGTAGTTACATGAAACTGTATGTGAAAAACTAAAGTAAAAATAATAAAATGGAATGCAGATTGTAATCGTGTAGCGCTTCAGACTTAAAAGAATAATTAAAAGTGCACTGAGCTCACGCTATTTTAACTTAATTGAACGTGAGAGTTATACGAGTCAGTGAAGTTATTTCTTATGAAATTTAAAATAACATGAGTTTATTACAAATAAATAAAAGGGCTAATTTTAAATTTGAATATTTTTGTGTTTTTAAATAAATAACAATATAAGAATTACGATTATCTAACTGAATATAAAAGAAAGAAAAAAGTGCAAATCAAATTGCATGTAAAAAAAAAGTCGAGACACCAGAAAGAAAATTAATGTGTAAACATATTGAATTTATTCTTTTTAGCATCTACTCTGACAAAAAAAGAAACAAAAAAGTTCGGCAACATCTTTTCGAATGTCTTGTTCTTGCCAATATTAACAAATGTTGAACAAGTTTCTTATCGTACAAAAAACCGCAAAACAATACACGCATTTCTTTTTCTACTTTCATCAACGTTGAAAAATGATAAGTCGAAAAAAAACGCAGGTCCCCAAAAAACTTAATAAGATTTATGACGAATAACGACGCTCGTCCGCTTGTTATCTGAACTTTTCACATTCTTTTGAGACGCTCAAAATATAAAATGATACAAACAAATTTTCACGCAATTTTTCACTCTCTTACTCGTTCACGTGCGATAATTTTTTGCTTCATGTGTGAGCACACGTAATTCGTTTACAATCGATTCGTTTTTCATCGGTTGCTATATTAACAGTGTGCGCCGATTTAATGTTTGCGTTTGGCACGTTTTGTTGCAAGTTAATGTATCCAACAAATTTGCTGAAGCTTTTTTCGTCTCTCGAATGTAATTTGTGCTTTTTATTGTTTGTATTTTGGGCAAGCTTTTGAATAGCGGCGGTTTTAATTTATTGATTTCTTTCTCGGCTGGGTCTGCGGTCTTGGCCCGCTATGTAAACTTTGCAATATGTTCACAATACGTCTTTACGTACTTTATGCTCTTTGACATTATTATATTATATTGGCGAAGTCCATTCGCGGCGTAGCAATGTGAAGAGACCGTCGGTGGAAACTTTTCACTTTGCACAAACTTCGTCTTCAGTTTGAGTCATCCACAAAGTAACCGAAAGCTTTAGAAGAATAAACAAAAAATAAAAATAACCCAAACAAAAGGAATCAAATTTTAATACCGTCCAAACAATATTCGGTTGTAATTTTTATGAATAAAAGAGTAAAAAACAAAAAGAAAAAATTGATTTTATTGTATAAAATGTAAAATAAAAGTTTTATATATTTTAATCACTCAGTATAAAGGATAATTTAGGTATAGTAATGACTGAATGTTATATTATCTTGGTTCTCTTATTTTCCAACTCAATTCTTGGGTAGCAACGGATTATAGTAATTAGTATTATTTACGTTGATGGCTTAATGAACGAAGGGTGCGTATAACGAAGACACCTCCCTTGTCCCACCTCACTTCCTTCATCTTTCTTGCAAGCAACTTGAGTGGGCTCTCACTCGTCTGCAGGCTGAGCATGCATTTCTCTCCGTTGGCTGCGAAGGTATCGCACGACTCAGGTTATAGCGATATTAGTCAACTTAGTTGGTAGCGAGTTTTCGAGTTGCCAGTTTCTCCAAGTTGTGTCTGCGGGGGTGGCGCACCCGGCGGGTAATGCAACCAAATTGGGTGCGGCAGTTAGCGCCTCACGCCTGCCACCCGCTTCTCATAATAGAATTCTAATGTGTTGCAATATATAATGTATCGAAGCCGCTCCCGGCTGCCCCCCGAACGCTCCGCATAAGAAGCGAAGGTTTGAAGGCTCAGTGCGTAAATTAGGGACAGTTTAGCGACCGGCACCTCACCCATGCTATAACTACACTCGAAAACGAAGGACTCAATTGTGCACAAGTATATAGAAGAGCCTGAGGCTATTCCCAATTTTGTTTTGGTTCAGGACCGTATTGAAAATTAAAATATCTTCAATTATATTACAATATAAGCTAAAAAATCAAATTTTAATTTTTTTAAACGAAAAATAAAATTAATGATAAATAAAAAATTATATAATTAATACTATCCTGTACAAAGGATATATGACGAGAAAACAAGGTGCAAGAAGAAGGGTTACACCTTGCAGCAATGTTGCTATATAAGCGGCACAACGGAGCGATTCATATTTAAGCGTACGACATTAAATTACCCAACCCTTTAATGTGTTCGTTACCACCCGTTACCACATCCAAACCATACAGCGTGTGTGAAAGCTGCGTCGTCATTGGGAGTCAAAGCATAATTTTCAAAATTACGTATACAATAACGCACCAAATTGCGAAAATTGTAGATGAAAATTGAAAGTGCAAATTTCCTTTTACTGCCCGGTAAATTAACCTCTAAAATATTTTATAATAAATATAAATAAAAACGCAATACATTCTTTGTATTAAATAAATTTTTTTATTAAAATAACGCGCATAGAATGAAAAATTCATTTAAACTATTTGCGATGACAAATAGATGTCGCTGTGATGCGTGGCAGGCAAAGCAAAGCCTCGAGCCCGGCGGTTCCACCAATCCTCCATACTGGCCGTGTTTGTGCTGGCTCAAGAAGTGGGGATGTTGTCGGCGGCGGCGGTCGGCGGGCGGCGCTGCCGTCAATAACGTTCGTGCCGTGCTCGAGTGCGTACCGTGTAAAGCGTGTGTTCACCAATACGCTCGCCACCGCACCGGGGCTCGAATTTTCGCGACAAGTGCGCGCGAACCTCAGAGCCCGCGTGGGTGGGCGCATCAATCGCATAAATCAGCCGCGGCTACCCTTCCATTTGCACTGCGATAAATCAAATTGATTGTTGCAAATTTTCAATTTACTAGGAAGTAACCATCACAATCTGCGATAAGGCGCATCCGCCCACCGCCGACCCCCGCCGCTCAAAGCGACACCCAGTGAAGTTTACATCCATTAAAATCAAAGTTAATCCAAATAGGCAAAGTCGCAAAGGAGAATAAAGGATAATTGACAAAGCGGAGTTTAGTGCGCGGGACGATAAAGGATAATTTGTGCGATAACATAATAGTTATGTGACTTCTGATAAACGCATTGATAAACTTGTGTGTTTCATCAAATTTACCGAGTGAATTAAATTGAATTTTAAAAATATTATCGACTGGATAACATTTTGTGAGGCTAGTATCTTCAAAAAGTGTGATTTGTGCGAAATTACAAATTAAAGTTGAATTGCGTGTCGGATTTGAACTTTTTTCGGGGAATACACATTGCGTTCTGGCTGGACTGGAGCTGCCTAAAAAAATCGCTGTTAATCTGATTAACTTGTAATCAGCAAATTTTCAACCGACCGGAAAGGTGAGCGCTAAAATGTTTTACGACCTATTGGTACAGTGTGAAGAAAAAAGAGCAAAATTTTCATTGGCATGCTCTAAATCTTTTTTCTTTTTCATTTGTTTTTCATATTTATTACTTTTTTTTTAATCTGCATACAAATAATTTATTACATGTTGCCGGAATTGAAATACAATGTGAAATTGTTGACAAATTAGAAATTGACGATAAATAACGGTGGTTATCCTTGATTATATATGCTTAGTCGATGCAGAGTAGAAAGAATTCATTCTTGGTGTACAAATAAGAAAGAACGCGGCATATCCTAGGAACTATGGAATAATGAGGTTATTGGCCAACCGCCAGTTATATAGGTTTCATGCTCTACTATGCTTTAAATTTTGCATTTATTCTTTCCAAGATTGATGTATTTACCTACTGGCTTGTTTTGTTGATTGTTTAGTAGAGAGTTGAATAACATGTCGCCTGATAAGTTTCCAGGTCATCAAATGTTTGCTTTGTGCAGTTTATTGGTCATTATGTGTCATCTTCCAGTAAAACCTTAAGAAAATTTTCAAATCAGATAAAAATTGAAAATATAAGAGTTAACAAACAATAATTTGAATAAATTGGTATATTTTAATAAATTAATAATCACGATAAAAGATTTTATATCAAAATTATAGATTAAATCACTTTTTTGCATGTTTTATGGATTTAAATAATAAAATAATTGTTATTTTCGTTTGTAATTACGTAATTATCGTAATTGACATTTACTGGATGTAGTAAACAAGGTATAACATGCTATATTAGCAAATACAACACGTAACGACTATCTATTGTTACTATATAGATATATGTAGTTTGGAAGCATGAACAAACGAGAAAAGTTTTCTTTTCAAACCAGGTTGCTTGGAAATATGTTCATATATTGTCTGATGAGAAGCACCAGGATTATTTGTATAAGCAAAGTGGTGTACCGCAAGTGTATTGAAAATTGTTTATTACAAAAACAGCAGGAAATCTAAAACACAAACAAGGTACAAGACAAAACACGAACATTAAATAGAAATTAGTAACTTCGCAATTGTGTTAAACTTATATCAACAACATATGAATATGTGTAAACACGGTGCAAATAATAAATGTTAATATATATGCAAATAATTTACATATTTATTATTCTACCTCTAAGAATAATGAAACAAATGGATATAAAATTTATAAAAAGATTTCTTTACGATGGTTTATTTATCAAAAGGTAGTTAATCCCTGAAAATTCATTTTATTGTAGGTCATCTTAAGCTTGGCGTGTGTTTTTATATATTTTTTATATATTTATTCCTTTCTAATATGACGTGAAGCTGTTTTTATTGTACACGTCTGTTGCTTATTGTCTGCTGTTGAACCGACATTGTATTTGAGAAAACATACCAATCTCACATGTTCGCTGCGTTTGTGAGGCTTATTTTGACAATTTCATTTTGTCACATCAAAAATAAGAAACTAACGAAACAACGCGAAGAAGAAGCGTGAAGCAAAAAGTAAGTCGTCTAAAGTCGACACAAACGGACATGAAAAAATATAAGCTTCAATTGTGTTTTGGCTTAGCTCAACCATATTTCGAATTTTGGTTGGATTCCAATTTTAGAAGAATATTTCTCTAAAAACTATGTTTTTAAAGAAGCTAAATAACCTAAAATAATTTTATAGTCAACAATTAATCAACACCGTTACTTTGTAATTTAGTTTAACTATTATCACAGCAATAGTTCTATTTATTTATCCGCACAGGGAAATATTGATACGAACGCGTAAAAATAAAATGTGTGAAATGTAGAATAATGCAAATATATTTTTCGCACATTTTCAGGCCTAGATTATACTTCGTTAGGTTATGTGTTCCATTGAATTTCCAATGCCCTTGGTATGTTGGCTTCGTATCGCTAGTAAATCGTTGATTCGTCAACCTTGCTAATAACACACTAGTCACGCGACCCCCGAGGTAATTTTCCGTTCGATTCTGAAACTTTTTCTCCACATTTTTTTGCTCTTGTTTTTTTACATTACCTTATTTTAATCTACGCGAACGTTTCCTCCATGTAATCATATAAACTTTGTTTTTGTTATATTTGTGTTGTGGGTTGAATAAATCTTGTGTGTTGCTGGGTCACCGCTACCACAGAAAGATAAACAGTTTAGAAAAAAATAAGGAATAATTACAAGAATAATAAAACGAGATAATTTGGTTATCAAACATTACGTTATGTAATAATATGTGTATGAACAATTTTATTTAGGTTATGTACTTAGGTTAGGTTAAGTTTGGTTATGTGAGCTTAGAGTGCAATTTTGGTCGTGCTTAGGCTTGTAAGTGCCATTGAGCTTCCTGTTGGTGAGTTTCCGGTCTCTAATCTACCAATAGAGGCGTTATTTGCGTGGTCAATATTATTACTATGAACACTAGAGAATTTCTTAGTTATAATACGCATATGTTTATAGTTTTAATTAATTTAAAATTAAAAATTTAAAGAAAAAAAGTTTAAACGTTCACAGGTAATTTAATATTTCATTTGATCATAACACTAACGAGTTCCAACATATTCGTGTCCGCTAGACGGAAGCAAAAGAATAATCGTGGCATTGATTTCCGGTGGCGAGCGAGGGCGCGTGCTAAACGCTCAACACTTCACTAATCAAACTAAGTGAGAATTAACGATGGAAACATCACCTACTGTCTGCCCGCCCCACAGCTACTGGTGTAGGGTTGGTGGACTACTGCCAACCTGGCGAGCATTGCTAATATACGAACATTACTTACAATTTCCATTCGAACGCAGCCTGCCTGCCGCGCGTGTGTGCAAAGTATATGATGGTGTATTGCTGGCGGACTACCTACCATTGGCACATATATATCACACTCCTATTACCCCAACGTGCAGATATAGGTGCCAGGCGCCTTCACGTCGACACATACACGCGCCTACGTCGGTTTCGCTGAGTAAAACATGGATGTGACGCGACGTGCGTACGAGTATACGCCGCCCGATGCTTCCGCGTGAGTATTAATCACTCATTTCCGGCTAAACGGAAAACGGGGCGTGAATCTTGCTGGCGTTTGAGTGAGCTACACATACTACGTATTTATTGCCACAATGTCGGTGCTTCTGTTTTCAATAAATATATGTTACGACATCATTACACTGCCGGACAAAATAAAATCAAACAAAATACGAAATTCAAAATCAAACATATTATTAATAATGATTGGACAGTGATTACATAATTTGAATACAAGTTATGCTTAGCCCACAGATCGAAATTTAAACCATTTAACCGTAAATTTTGTTGTTGTTGGGCAAACCTGCAATTCAGGAAGCACAAATTTCCACTTCACACCGTTTCGTCCGGTTGCGTGGCATTCTCGCCCCACTTTCCTTGCTTGAACGTTGAATGTTCCGCGTCGTGAGCGTGAGTGCGCAAATGCTATTGGCAAATTTATGGTGCTGTTTGTGTACGTAGCAGACGAGCGCACTCGGACAAGATGTCTATTTCGCTTGGTCGTACTTTACACTAATTACCTCTAGGGTAATAATGGTTTTGCAGAATACACATATTATTTTAGCTCTAATTAGTTTTATTTTAATAAAATAACCTTAAATGCAAATAAAAACAGACAATCTTTAAATTAGAAAAATAAATAGTATATTAAGTATCAAGTGGATAAACGTGAGTTTTAGTCACGAGATTCATTAAGAGCGAGCTTAGCAACGATTAATCAATCGAGTGTATAAAACGTTTAGCCACGTGATGCTTACGCTATTTTTCAATTTTCACTTTGTTTTCACGTTGAAATGTGTAAAATTCGTGACTAAAGTATTTTAGTCACGGGTTTGGCTGTCCGTGCTTACCACTTTTTGAGCCTCAAAACCATGGAAGAACTGGCGCATTAAAGGTAAAAGTTGAATTTTTTAAAGTGGCTTTTGTGTGGCACTTAAAAATTGCCAGTAATATTCATTAAATATGTAGGAAAACTCTCATATTTGCACAAATTATACCAACTTCAAACACACCACCATCTAGGTTCTTTTCATTACATATTCCAACGACCTCCAGCCGAGAGTAGGGCATGAGTATGATGGCGAATGCACAAAAGCGCGCAAATGATAAAACGATGGCATTCGCACAATAGAAGCTCGCAAAGGGTTAAAAGAAGGGGTCGACTGTGGCAATACGTGCGCGAAGCATTGAAACATCGCCCAATGCTCGATGCATGTAACCACCGAAAACGGAAGAGGTGGTCGCAAAAGGGTACAAAGTTCACTTAATTAGTTTTGTCAGTTGCCTCACCCCGCATTGTATCCGCGGCGAATGTGGACGGAATATTAGAATATGTTTGTGAAAGCGCCGGGAAATACACGGATATCAAATACGTTTTCAATACGGTTTTCAACTTTACGGCGTTCATGCTGAAAGAGCAGAGTTGATCAATAATATTTAGTGCTATGTCAATGTTATTTTAATTAATAGCCAATTAAGATTAATGCATAATTTTAGCTACATAATTGATAGACTAAATCGACTAATATTTGAATATTAATATCAGTAATGTCGGTAACATATTTTTAAAATAAACTAGCTTTTGCCCGCGACTTCGTCCTGGTAGTGTTTAATAAAAATATAATTTGTTTTCACTTTCTTGTTCTAGCCATAGTATGTGTCAATTCTATCAAAAATATTCGCAATTTTATTTAAATAAAAAATGAATTATATAAAGAATTACCAATAAAGCACTTCAGCGCCATCTAGGATTCAACTATTTAACTATAACTATGATTGAATCTCAATGCCAAAGTTTATCCTATAGAAATAGGCTGTTTTTCGGGTTTTCCCGGCAATTATTCGAATTTTTCTCGCCGTAAAAACAATCCCAAGACTTTAGAGAACATTAAAAAAGAATTGGCCAAATTGGTCGACGCGTTGTTGAGCTATGCGCTTACTAACAAATTTTGCGATTCATT